AGAAAATTCCTGTTGCTCCTTTGAAACCTATTCCAACTTTCGAAGAACCCTTCGATTGTGTGATTGTTGATTGGGCTGGACCTTTAGCAAAAACTCAATCAGGAAACCAGTATTTGTTGACTATCATGTGCGCATACACTCGATTCCATGAAGCTATCCCTTTGAGAAACACTTCACCCCCAAAAATTTAATTACAATTTTGTACATAGATCATTATTAATTGTAATAATTGTAATTGGAAATTATGTTATTTGTATATTAAAATATATTTGTATAGAACAAAATGCATGTATTAATCTTGTTGGCAATTATGATAAATTGGATATATATCGACATTTATTTAATTTCTAAACCTAAATTATCATTTAACTTAGTTTCAGGCTATTCGAAATTATAATATGTTAACTAAAAATTTGGAGACTCGTACGGAGTAAACTATAATACGTAAATATCTTACTGGTCGATTTCTACAAACTGTTGCGATGCTGGAGTGGATAGCAAAATCAAAACTCTTACACACGGGGCAAAAACATGAACAAAAGTGATGACATACCACATTTTCAACTCAGACCAAAGTGCTAGTGCATTATCCTAATGTAATCATAGATAACTTACGACAATGACAATTCCTAATAAAGATGTTCAAAGAAGGAAACCTGCAACTTATGTCAACTTAAGTTGTGCTGAGGTACACTAATTTATCTTTAGAGTAATAACTACAAATAAGAGGAGAAACGGCAAGGAAATTTATTATGGAGTTAAACTGGGCCCTGACTTTGAATGAGCTGAAACAAGACAGGGGCTGAAGTCCCCCCAAAAATTAAACGAACAACAATCTTTATTCAATACTTAAAGCAATCAATGTAAACGTGTAACAGACAGAAGAGAGCACGTTTATTGGAGATTACCTGTCTATAAACTCTAGATCTGTACCTGAATAAAACTTGTTTAAGAATAATAGAAGATAACATTATATACAAGATTCTATAATGCCATCCCTCTCGGTGTGCAGGTGTGTTGAACGTTACAATAGAAAATAATGAAGAATGTTATATTTCCCTAAGGTATCATCTAAACTGCTAGTAGAATAGATCACTTTTTAATTCAAATATTTATATTATTTTTGTTGTTTTTTGCAAAAGGGAGTTTTCATGTCAGGAGATGAGTGTGTGGCTTAATTTCTGTAATTTTCGAAAGTGTCCTAAAATGATTGAGCATGGTATAAAAGTATGGATTATGCAGGGCTGGCTTTAGGAGAAGGCCACTGAGGCAACTGCCTCAGGTCCCGCGCCTCAGTGGCTGAGTCGATTGTATACTTTTAGTATCCAAACTCGAGAACCTAATCCTGAGTACTTGCCTCAGGCCCCGCACCCTC